TCCACAAGAGTCAACAAATGGGTCATCAAACTAAGGTAACATGGATTGATCTATAAACCAAATACCGTCATCAAGAGCCAAGCACTTATAGATTTCATTGTCGAGTTCACCTCGAAGTCTATAGGAATAGAGGGGCCCACCCTAGAACCATCGGAGACCAACACCAGATGTGCATGTATGTAGACGAATCGGCCAACACTAATGGAGCCAGGGTCGGACTAGTAATGTTCACTCTAAATGGCTCTATAATGGTGTAAGCATTGAAGCTAGGTTTTTGTGCTAGCAACAATGAGGCTGAATACAAGGCCCTGTTTGCCGGACTACGAAGCCACTTGACGTGCACAAATCCACCACCTATTCTTGACCTTTCCTTCTCATTGGTCTACCCTTCATTTGAAGAACTACCACGACCTTCCTCTTCTTATTATTTGACTCAAATTGATCCTCCTTAACCACCTCAACAACCTTATCTGGTTTCTTCATGTCACCATTATCACCAGTACTCTCGGCCACCACTTCCTCTAGGCACTGCCTGGTAACATCTTTCAAACCATCAAGTGAATCCCAATCCGGATGTACAAATCCATGACCAATCCTTGTGAGCCTCGAGGATCACAATGAAGGCGCGATTGATCAAGTGCGGTCGATTCCCACACTACGAGCAAGGTCAGAGATAGTCATGTAAGTAGCAAACTTTACGACAATGTAAGGTCCAGATATGTCGCCCTCTCACTCCCTAATGACCCTAAGCACGTCCTTGATTGTAGTCTCATCCTTATTCGAGAGATTCCTGATCTAGGCATAATTCTGCCTCTTCGTGGATCAGCTCTGAAAAAAATATCGAGGGCTCGTAGATATGCTCTTCAGCAGGTAGAGTGCACGAAACTTGGAAAGATCCATTTTAGTTTCATAGATCCGGTTCAGCTTGTCAAATACGTGCATAACCATATAGGTAGTGAAGGTAAGGTTAATGGGCGCCAATTGGTAATGCACCAGCACCTCATTGACAAAGCCAGACAACGGGAATTGAAGGCCTATGCTCAAGTACTGTGAGGAATACGCACAGTAAGCTGGGTCGAATTTGAGGACATGGGTGGGGCACTAAAGACATCCTAACTCGTGACCAAGCTCGGTCGGGCGAGTTGAACAGATGTGATGATTGTGGTATCAAAAAGAACATCACTCGGCCTAAGGTTCTAAAACCTGAAGACTAGGTTGCTTAATTCACTATGAAGTTCAGGATCTTTTGCATTGGGTTCGACTACTTCAACTATAACAATGAAAATATACCTGATCGATATCAGGCCATGCATGCAGAGGTACTCAAATAAGATGAGTGTATTTATGGTGAATGCGGTTTAGCCGTCTGAATGTTGAACTATGAAATGCACTTTAGAGTAACCGATCATAGAACACCTTACTTCATTGGGTCTAATGTTGTGACCTCTTTCGGCGAAAGAATTGAAAACTCTTCACCAGCCGAGAATTGGATAGATAACCTACCAATCAGAAACAGTGTTGTTTACTTGTCCAAATTGAAGATGCTTCTAAATCGCCTGATTCTACAACTCAAGTGTTGTTTACTTATCCAACTGAAGACATCGCTGGTTGTTAACACAATGTTATTTACTTATCCAAACTAAAGATGTGTTAACAAAAGAGTTAGGATAATTAGTAGTTTTCTCAAGTTCGCATAGAATGAGGGTTTTTGAATAGAGCATTTTGAGTTGTTTGTTAAGTTGAAGGGGGCTCTCACGTTGCACAACGTCTCATATATATAGGGGCAAACTTCGTGATAAATATGTCTGCCAAGGTAGAGTCCTAATAGGACTATTCCTTCTCGACACTTTCCTGGATATCCTCTATTTATCCCTTCTCTTGCCTTCTTTAGCTGAAGCTTAAACCTTATCCAGTCTTGGCTTAATTGGCTTTGAAGGAAAAAATTTGTCCTAGCTAAGAACATGTGAGAACATTTGAACACATAGGCAAACTATTAACATATTAAAGTAGGCATGCATTAAAAAACAATTCTAAAAATCCATGACTTTCAAAGCCTAGTGAACGGTAAACCACAAGACTCTTTAACAACAGTAAAGAGAAGAGAGTTTTTGAGATTCATTACCCTTGAAGCTCATCCTTGTTTACACAAAGGATTCACCCAAGTGGAGGGCCTTCAAGTCACCTGCTAGCTCCTTGAATCTTCCTTGTGATTTTTCTTCCTTTTGAATCTCCTTTGGTCCTTGAGGATGTGAAGAAAGGAACTCCAAAAAGTACCAAAGGTTTGGTACCTCTAAGTCTCCACACCAAAGATGTAGTGTGAAGAGAAGATGGATGACTTAGAGAGATTTTAGATGCTAGTAAAAGTCTCCCTAAGTGGCCGGCCTCTATAGAGAAAAAATTTCTCTTCTTTGACCCAAGAAAAACCCTAGTGAGAAAAAGCTATAAAGATGACTTTATACTACCTCACATGTGAGTGGCAAACTTGCAATTAACCCAAGTTTGCTACCACTCACCCTTGGCCGGTTTTGACTTTGTTTTTGGGTTAATTTTCATTTAGTTTTAGTTGTCACACAACCTAAACTCAATGGGCCTTGTGGACCAAAAACCTTTTTGGCCCCAAAACCCAAAACCAACTTAAAAGCCCATTACGAACCTTTCGTGAGATTAATTAACTAATTAATTAATTTTGACCATTCTCAATTAAACTATTTAATTGCTTATCCATCTCATTTATATTTCTTCACTTTCATCCTTACTCGATGTACGATTTATTAGGTTCCAATTAGCGAGGCAGTGGGTGATTGTTACTCTTAACGATCGATTGTGAATTGAAACTACATTTCAATTCTCCCTTTGATGAAGATTAGTGTTTGCTAATCTTCAGGGCTTCCACAAACCATGAGTGACACCTAGCAGTATGTCATGGCTACCCAAGCTAAATAGAAGTGGTTGGAGAACCTATCTAGTTACAATTATAATGCAATACGGTCCTTCTCTAATACAATACTCTTAATCACATTGTTTGAGTGATAGTTTGTTTCATATCTACTATCCAATGTGATACTTCTCTTATATGATTCAATTGAATATGATTTGGAACAAACTTCCTAAGTCATATTTGTATGCTTTGGCCAAAGACTCCCGAATCATATCTCAGAGTATTCTCCCTCCACCATGGAAGGTTAGAGATCCTTGTTATGCATTCATATGCCTACATGACTAGATAGCTTGACCCCAACAATGTCGTGGACACTCTCGATGGAATTCCTTTGACATGATCAAAGATCAAGGACCTAACCATTAGACATCTATAATGCCTCAGGTCAAAGGACTATTTTGCATATTGCAACTTACGAGCTCTTACATGACATGTATGTTCGAACTCTCTTTTGATCGTGATTCAGTGTACTTGATTACCTTTTGAGCACCTATGTGTTTGTCTCAGTGTCCAACACTAAATGACTTGAGACTAGTCATACTCACGCTTGAGTTAACATAACACATACTAATCTTAGTGGATTGTCAATGCCCAATTGGCAATCCTATGGCTAGGAACGTTTTAGGAATGAACATAAGAGAAAGATCTCGTTAATCTAACTTACTTAGATCACTTCTCTCTTAGATTAAATACATTCCTTGGATTCCCTTATTGCTTAAACACATAATACAATAAGTAGTGATTAACAATAAGATTTGCCCTTCATTAAACATATAATAGTTAACACAGTAAGTATTCCAAAAGCTATTACATCAAATGAGTGGCTCGGTGGGCATACTTTCAACATGCTTGAACTAGGATTCTGAACCTAGTCCCTTCATGCACTTAATTCATTCGTATATGTTCAAGCATAGGTCTGATCCTCAGAATAATGCGAATCTTAACAAAACTCATCCTAATCCTTGACAATTCTAATTCAATCAGGGCTCAACCGAGCTACGCCTGAGTCTGACCCTTTAGCAGTCCCATATCGGTTGAGTGAATGCTCTCTTGGGCTGGGAGCGAATCGGCTTGATGAATAATTACAGGACCGAGAACCGTGGCCATTCAACTCGGGCTATCATCACTTCTCAACCCAAACCTTGTACTTCAGCCCAAACAAACTCATACTAAATATCTTAATACATTTCATTTATTTAGTAAAATTACTCTTACGCCCCCTATAAAATTCAGCAACTTCCAACCGAGGCCACATAAATTTTCAACAAAGCCAATTCGAATATGTATACTTTCACCAGTCTACTGAATTTGTTCACTTTTTCGGCAGTGTCAACATTTCATCCTGAAAATGTATAAACTTTGAACAGGCACCTACCAAAATTGAAATGAAGAATATTGGTCCTCTCAAGTATTTTTTTTTTTTTGAAATTGAAGTTTAGAAACCAGTAAAGAAATGTGAAAAAATTGTATTGTTACTGAGACTTGAGTGCCTCGTGTAAACATGCTGACAGTCGTTGAAATGAATCACAATGAAATTCAATCTCAATGAATGTGAATGTCGCGGTCATAAGTAGACTTACGTCCCCTCCTATCCTGTCCTGATGACAAATTGACAATGGCGGCATTGTAGCTGCTAATGTGCTAGTTTTGTTGGGTTGGGTTGGGTAGTGTCGTACGTATTCTTTGAATTGGAATTGAGTCGTTGAATTGAATGATTCAAAGTAAAGTAACAAAACAGGTCTTGGTTGTGTCGAGCATAAAAGTCACCTCACGTACATGTACATAATCGTAATTGTGTTACCAATGTTATAGAAAAGGAAAACAATAAATACATAAGAATATGGTTGTATAAAAATAAAATAAAAATCTAATCATTAAAACTCCTAGTGTACCGGGTACTCCGGAGCACCCAAAAAAATCCCTCACTCACCATGCAGATTTGAGCAGCTTAAATGCAAGAACACAGACGGAAGCATACTAAAAATAAAATAAAAAATGGATTAAAAAAAGGTACTAAAAATAATTAATCTTTATTAGCATACCTCATCACAAGCAAGCAATATAGGTAAAAAAAGCATCATCATCATCATCAGAATTGGTTCCTTTTTTCTCCGTTTTGTCGCACATTTTATTCTTCACGCTTATAATAACAATAATAATTAAAGAAACCAACCAATATCAGATGTGAAAGACAACTGCAAACTAGAAGGAAAATAAACCCCTACATACATGAGCACAAAAGAATTGCCTATATAGTGTGTGTGTGTGTGCGCGCGGCGCGCCTCTCTAATACTAATATTATTATGGTAATGCCCCAGCAAATTCTATTACTTTACCTAGTTAAATAACCGCATGTATTCAGAAAAACTTTTCCAGCGGAGACTTCAAATAGGAGCTGCCTACATTGCCCATTAACAAGGCAACGATCAGCAGAACTGTCGCTAAGGCCCACATCCAAGGCTGCATCCTTCTCTTACTGCGGTTGCGTAGAGGCAGAGGGATGGATTTTACCTTGGTTTGCTGAGTTGATTGCGCTGATTTCTGAGACCTCTTTGTTACTGTCACCGGGTTCTCTCTAGTCTCAGGCTGTTTAGGAATTTCTTTTGGGGCTTCTAAGCTTGCTTCTGGAGCAGATTCTCCTTCACTAACATCATTTGTAGCCTTTGTTGTAGTTGCCATCCTTCTTTCCTTCTTCCTTATCCTCTTCTCCCTTTCCAGCACAAGATACAAGCCATTGCACGATCGATACACAGAAGAAAAGAATATTGCATCACATGGGAAATGTCTATATCTACAAGAATGCCTATGAGACGTTCATGGAATTGTAAAGTAGAAGGTGATGAAATATTACCTTCTCTTTCTCTTCAGCTTCCTTCTGTGCTCTTATGGCAGCTCTGGCTTGAGCCTTCTCCACTATTCTTTTTTTCCTCTCCTGTGCTTCTTTAGCTTTGGCCTTCTCCCCCGACCTGCGCTGCTCTCTCAACCTAGCTTCAGCTTCTTCCTTTCTCAACTGTTCTTCCTCCTTTGTTATTTTAGGGACTTCTACCCTTTCCTCTTTAATATCACTTCTTTCAGGAGCAGTTTCTGGGATAATTTCCGAGGAAGTGAGTTTCACAGGCTTCTTCGTTTTAGCTATCTCATTTTTATGCTGAACAACCTTCATTGAAGATATGTCATCTGGTTTTTCAGACACCTCAGGGGCAACTTGTTTTGCTTGTTCCGGAGTGGAAACCACTGTTGCCAAATTATTCTTGGTTGCTCTTACGATATCAGGTATTACAGGGGGCTCCTCATCAGGACCAAGAGAGCGCCCATCTGAGGTTCTCAACCTCCTCAGTGTACTCCTGTTGTTGCATCTGAAGTATTCTTTACGGAAATCATCATTATCATTCCAGAGTTCCATAATTGTTTCCACCTAGACAATTGAATTTTTTGCAATTCACACATAAGCTGTTGTTCCAGATTCTTCAACAAAAAAGGTAGGGGGAAACACAAACACGCAACAACAACAACAACAACAACAGGACTTCATAAGCTAACCTGATTGATACACAAACGTTGTAGTTGTTCCCTATCTCCACTCAGTGCCAGATTATTAGCAGCCTTCACATCATCCTTGTATCTCCAAAAGTATTTGTTCTGCAGATTCAAGGAAAAAGGGGTTAATATCTCATCTAAATTTGTAACAAGGTAAGAAAAAGCATGCACAAGAAAAAGAAAAGGACAAAATCTTAAACCTTCAGGGTACTTGATTTATCAATGGGAAATATAAGCAAACTTAAACATAAGAAGGCTGAAAACTCTTTAAGTCAATGTTAGGCAAAACCTTAAACATACGCCCTTTTAATGGAGACATATAATTAGCTTCACAACATGATCAATAGTGTATTTGTGTGCAGATGTGTAAACTGTAGTACTTGGATCTAACGGAAGACGTGACACAAGACCAAGCGCAATGGCCTTCTAGGATTCATATAGCCAACCCCACTTAGTGGGAAAAGGCTTTGTTGTTGTTGTTGTTGTTTATGTGTAAACTGTAGAGAGAGGATAATTCTAACTGCTATAACGTTTTTCATCAAGGGAATCACATACCTTCTCATATTGTTGTTTCCTCAAACTCTGTAAATGTGCATATGCTTCTTGACGAATGTCATCTGCAGCTCTAAACTGATTAAGTATTTCATTAAGCATATTATTTTCTTCATTAAATCTCTTCTTAGCAGCTTGAGTGACTGCCTCCGCTTTGAGAAGATTTTCTCTGAGTAGATCCATTTCCTTCCTCAGAACCTGTAATATTGGAAGATGGTATAAATACCTTAATAATCTCACTAATATTGGAAGATCGTATAAATACCTTAATAACTTGAGGTCATCTAACTCTTACAGTATTAAACACTAACTAGTCTTGATTCTGGGCAAAAGAAAAATATACTAAAATTTGAATGTGATTAGGTGTTTGTATTTGAAATAGATCTCAGCATATGACTTCCACATAAACTATTTAACATAGCACATCTCCCAGACTGGTTAAATGATACATAGAAATGACGAGTACAATTGAGAAACACTACCTTTAAGCTCAGTTCAACATGGTATTTCTGGTCTAAAGCTTCTTGAACTTCATCCTGCTCACCCAGGCTAGAAGAGAGTTGTTCATGAAGTTGCTTCAGTTGCTTGATTTCGTGAATAAATTGTTTTTCTTCCTTCAAAGGCAAGGTCTCATGCTCCATACTGTGTTCCATATTGCGTATCTACTCATGAAACAAAAATTGAAGGATGCAGACATTCAGAAAAATATAAAAGTATATTCAAATCTGTAACATAAATATATGGCAGTAATTAATAGAACTGAAGGGGAGACAAGTGATCACTTTATAATCCAAATCCTCGATAGAGATGGCATTCTTGACTCTGTTAATCATTAATTGAACAGAATCCATTTCCTTGCGTTTGGCCTTAAACAGGTCTCGTCCAGCTCTCTCTTCAGATCTGGCTGCTTCAATTTTATCGAAATACTCCTTACAAGTGGCCTATCCATAAAAGAATTCCAACAGTTAATGTGGCAAGATATAAAATCCTACAAACAAAATATAGTAGAAGCCATTTGCAAAAGATTCCTCACCCTTTTAGTTTGGATTTAGGAACGAATAGCATCCCGGCTTTTAGTTTTTTCTTCAACATGTAACTGAGCCTGTTTAATCTCTTCTTTTAAATTTTCATCATCATATCTTGGAAACCTTATCAAGAAATAGAACGGCCTTTTTTCTACCTCAGCACCCTTATTCTGCCCTTCCACAGCATCAGCAGTGGAAACTTCCCCAGAAGATGTTGAGGGTTCAGATCCAAGTATTCCGTAAGTGTGCTCCACTTCCGTACATGTTGAATTAACATCACTCTCAATTTGAACATCATTCAAGTTGCAAGTTAATGGCCTGCCATTCTCCACAAAAGAGTCATTCAGAACCCTGGATTCAGATGCGTTAACATCATCATCAGGAATACCTCTGCTTCCCAGAGCAGATATACTCTGAACTTCAGACACTAGTTTTTCATCAGTATTTGGCTTAGCAGGAAAGCCAGCATCTTTTGAATTGTTATCAGAAACAGATATAAAAGGGCTGGCAGCCCATTCAACCTCTAAACTTGACAAACCAGTGTCTACACCTGTGGCATCATTAGATGCCCTTTCTCCGCAACCAACAGAATCAGGGTTGGTCTTGGGATCTGATATTGCATAATTAGCTGTGAAACTTGACAGAGTATCATCTTTACTGGGCACACTCTTGAATTCAATTTCTGATTTTGAATTGAGTTCTGATATCACATCATTAGGTGAGAAACTCGACAGGGTTTCGTCTATAACGGGCACTCTTTCATATTCAACTTCTGATTTTGAATTGGGTTCTTCTGATATTGCATCATTCAGTGGGAAATTTGACAAAGTATCAAACCCAATGGGCGCATTCTCAGATTCAACTTCTGGTTTTGAATTGGGTTTGTCTGATACTGCCTCATTAGGTGGGAAACTTGAAGTATCATCCGAAATGGGTGTACTCTCAGATTCAACTTCTGATTTTGAAATGGGTTCTTCTGCTATTGCATCTTTGGGTGCAAAACTTGGTAGAGTATCATCTACAACGGGCGCACAATCAAATTCAACTTCTGATTTTGAATTGGGTTCTTCTGATATTGCATCATAGGGTGGCAAACTTGGCAGAGTATCATCTACAACTGGGGTACTTTCAGATTCAACTTCTGATATTGAATTGGGTTCTTCTGACATTGCATCAATGGGTGGGAAACTCGATAGAGTTTCATCTATAATGATCACACTTTCAGATTCAACTTCTGATTTTGAAGTAGATTCTTCTGATATTGCATCATTCGGTGGAAACTTGACAGAGTACCATTGACAACAATCGCTATCTCAGATTCAACTTCTGATTTTGAATGGGGTTCTTCTAATACTGTAGCATTAGGTGGAAAACTTGACGGAGTATCACAAAAAAGGGGCACAATCTCCGTTTCAATTTTTGATTTTGAGTTGGGTTCTGATATTGCATCATCAGCTGGGCAACTTGACAGTGTATCATCTACAACAGGTCCACTCTCTGCTTCAATTTTCGATTTTGAATGCTCAGGGCGGCAAGGATTGGGGCTTTCACTATCCTTCTCAGTTATCTTTACAGCATCAGCCTCTAGCCTCACATCATCAATAGAGCAATTTGAAACATCTTCAGTAGGTAGAGAAACGCCATTCTCAGCATTTTGATCTTCTGTTATATCATTATCAGCAACAGCTGAAAAGCTTTCACCATTTCCAACAGCTACTTTCTCAAAACTATCAGCATTTTCACACGATCCATGATTCTCTTCAGGTGTATCAAGTAAGTCATTATCATTTGTAACTAGAGGCACGTGAATATTCGGGAAGCCATCTCCATTACTTTGATCAGAGACACAGCTGTTGACAACTTGAGTAGCTGACTTTGTCGCATCTTGGAGAGAGGCATTTTCAAAAATTATGGGGGCAGATGAGTCGAGGCCATTTTCAGAATATTCATTTTGTTCATGAGCATGACAAGCAGGCAAGTTGTCCGCAGTAGTTTCCTTGGACATGAGATTGCCCACAACTTGCTCATCCAACGATGGGATTGGGGTTGGGGCTCAGGTTGGCATCGAATAATGCTTTGTCTGTTGGCTTAGATCCCTCGAAGCATCTTCCATGGGTACGTCCTCGGCTTCTTTTGGATCCTGGTCAGTCTCTGCTCACTCAGACACCACCACCTCTCCGTCATTGAGATGTGGGGCTTCTGCGGCAGCCTTGTTGAGCAAATGAGATTGGGAATTGTCCTTTTGAGGGTCCAAGTGAAGACCAACAGCACCATTGTTCTGAACAACGCTGCTATTGAGATGAGAATGGACAGGATCTTTGGAAACGATGGCATCACTCCTGGTTACAAAGACACAAGAGACACAAGAGCCGTCAGCGTTGGTGTCGGTGTCGTCCTTAGAAACCCCATTATCGCTCTGATTCCCATTCCCAATCGCAACATTCCCATTCACAACATTGGCAACGACATTCCCAACCTCACCTTTGGAGACCTCAGATTCACAGGCATCAGGGTACACAACCACGCCGGCCGTCATTGTGATCCGAAACAAAATCCCACAAGAACCACAGCCACAACGATACCGATCTAATTGACACACACACACACACACAAAAAGTTGCAAAATTTAAAAATTAAATGTGTTTAATTCCGTTTATAGCGAGTGAATTCAGAGTTTGAAGTGGATCAAAATTTAGGAGAAGTGGGAGATATAAGGGTTTCGGAGATGAGATTGGACTTACCGGTGCAGATCGAACGAGCGGGTGGGAACGCAGTGGAGTCGAATAGAGTCGAGCAGAGCAGTGCAGTGCAGAGGAGAGCAGATCGAGAGGTAGATCAGCCAGCCGACATCAAATGCTGTGGATGGATTATGACTATCTAATGTATAAGGGCGTGTTTGCGAATAAGCAAAATAATATACAGCCTCGAGAGAGAGGAGAGAGAGGAGAGAGAGTGAGGGAGTACGCAGCAGAGCAACAGCTGGCGAAGCAAGAAGAGAGAGCTTGTGCTCTATAAACTTTTTCACACTACCGCCTCGTTTGGCACGTTGTATTAAGCACGGATATGATTAATAATATAGTAGCAGTCATTTGGTGCACTATCGTACTAAATAAGCATCGTTTAATTATACGATCCATCAAATTTAATACGATCGACACCGGACAATTAATACAACCCAAAAGCTTCGTATTATTAGTCGGGGGCGCTAACCAAAAACACGCTCGCTTCTCCTCTTCGGTTTCACACATCTGCTCCTTGGAAAATCCTCTCCATCTTCAAGAGCATTTCCTCGACGAGTTCTTGTGACAATTCGTCCCTAATTTTAAGTTTTATAAATTTTAAATCAATGATTTTACGAAAAGGCCCCTTGAGGCAAAAATTTTAACTTTGGTTGACCATCGGTTAGAGAGACGTAGGACTCATTCTTTTAGTGTAATTGTGTAGTACTTGACGATACGAACGCGTGGGCACAAGTGGATTTGAATTTGGAGCAAAAACAGGGATATTATGGAATTCAAAATGTAAGGGTATTTTGGTAAGTTCACAAATGGAGATATTTCTCCACTTTGGACCACCACATGACTGACATGTGGCACCCAATTCCTCGTGCCCTTTTTCTTTTCCCTCCCGTGATCTCTCCCTCGAGAGCTCTCTCGTCTCTCCTCTCTCACCTCTGTCAACTCTCCTTCTCTACCAGTTCAACCAAAACGCCACCACCTACTACCTTCTCTGGCGAGCTTCGCCATAGCACCACCATAACTTCCTCATCTCCAACTCTCTCTGCACCCATCGTGCACAGTGAAACTACACCACCATCACTAGCTTTCTTCTTAACCTAGTAGTTAATTGTGTTAGCATAAATCCTCAAGGTACTGGGTTCGAAGGCTGGTACTGGTGATGGTGATGATGATGAATGGACAAATGGATGTTATTTTCAAGAGAAATGCTAAGGGAGTTTCGCTCTCTCTCTATTCTCAGTTGCACAACACTGCAACCACGGTGAGCCTCGAGATCCTCAAATTCTTCATGTTTCGAAGCCCTTATAATGTTGTTAACCTTTAAATGGTGATTTGATGACGACTGAATGTAGGAAGCAACCTAGGAAAAATTTCCCAAATTCCTAGAAAACAAGACCCGTGGCCATTTACCCATTTTCAGACCAAATTTTCGGCCAACTCTGATCTCCGTTGGGCCTCCTAAAGGTATGACTCTCTTTTCTACATTTCTAACTTCAAAATGGCTTTTGAATCATCAAGTTTGATTAAATATTGAATTAGAAACTAGCTATGAAAGTTGGGAAGAAATTTCCAAAATTCTGGAAAGTTTGGCCGTGACCATCAAGCCACTTTTAGCTCGTTCCCCCGTTTAACTTTAGCCACGATTGGACCCCGAACTAGTAGAAACCTTTTCTCCACATTCCTAGCTTCTAGTTGGCTTTTGAATCTTTGATTTTGGTTAAGTATTGAGTTAGAAATCAACTTTGGAAGTTAGGAAGAAAACCAATAAAATTCTAACCTTCGTGAGGAAGGTGAGTACTAATGTACTCACGGCGTGTAAGGCCCATGGGATGTCGGCGTGTGCAGTGCATGGCTGCCAGTGTAGCCATCTTGTGGCGGTGCATGGTAGCGCGTGCAGCGGCGTTGGGAGGAACCCGAGGTCCCTTCTTAGGTTTCTTGATGTGCCGAACCCGAATTCGCCCTCCATTTTCTGAAATTCAACTGTTTTAAAATAGTTTCTTTATTAGCCGTACTTTGTACGAAAATGTGTTTATATACATTAGTACGTTACGTATTTACCTAAATGGTTTCATTTCTAGGCAAAATGCATCGCAAGGATTCTTGATGCTACAAGGCGAGTTCGACTTGGCGACATGATCTGTGAGTGGGCATTTGTTTTCATATATATATATATATATATATATATATATATATATATATATATATATATCTTACAGTTTCCAGAAATGTTTTAAATTGATTATGCATAGCATGCCATGATTTGAATGCGTTATATTTAAATATTGCATTATGATGAGATTTGTGATTATGTCAAATGATCCTACGGAGGCGCAGGTAAGTTCAAGTGAGTTATTATGTGGTTGAAATGGTTGCATTATATGAGCATACATATATTCATTTAGAGCTCATATCGCTGCACCATGGTGTTAATGCTCTCGCCCCAGGCCAGGGCACAGCCTTCACATGATTGTTCACCTCCTGCACCGCACGTTCACCTTGGATCCAAGTTAGGTGCTAGCCGTCGTACAGGTTGCATCAGGCGAATCTGACTCGTAGGTGACCCACGCATAGCGCTAGCCTTCACGTGATCGTTGACTCTGACTCGCGTGCTAGCATAAACTGATAAGCAATAGGTCCAGTCGTACAGGTCGCATTAGGTGACTCCGACTGGCATGCTAGTTTAGACTGATTTCACACCTGGCTTACGCTTATTATTGTTGAGATATTGTGGCATGGCATGCTTTTATGTTCACTACACTCATGCATTCACTTTCGTACTTATGTAGTATTATTTTCTGGAAACTATATAAGTTTTTCAGAGATGGGTTATTACTTTCAGAAAAGAGAAATGCGTTTGCTAAAGCTTTGTTTTTGCCCCACTCACCCTTCTATTTTTCGCTTTTATAGGTTTTAGTAGTTGAGCTTCTGTATCAACGAGGATTCTTGGCATATCCCAGTATAGCTGACTACCTATGATGGTATAATCCTTATCTTACCTTACTGTACTTTACTTATGCTCTGTAATCACATGGGAAATGGGTTCATTCCCACTCACAGCACACTCTTATATTTAGGCACTTTTAGGTTTAAATTTATTCACTTCCAGGTGTCGGCCAGCACAGCTCTATTCGGAGTCCTAACCGACATTCTGGGTCATGGTGTGTCGGTTCTCAACCCCAACTGCCACTCCTCTGCAATCGGTCGCCATGCAATTTCCCATCTCGTTCGTCGCTCCTGCTCTATCACGTTTCAGTCGTCAAAGTCAAAGCACGACGATGTGGACAAAGAGGTAGTTAAGATCACGAAGCCCGATCGATGTCAACAACAACAGACTCGACAACTCAATGATCTTCCATCGCTGACAGCGTTGGATCCAGCTCTGACGGCTCCGGTTAACTCGGACCTTTGTCACAAATTGATTTCTTTTCTTCATCAATTTGGATTTTCAATTTAATTAGTAGTTGTTTTGGTTCGTGAATCAATGTGGCTTTGGGGAGATTGAAGAAATGAGAAAGTGGGATTGTATGGGAGGTGGGATTTGAAGCGTGGCGAAGATGGTGAAGAAAGGAAAAAGCGACTGGGAAGAGACTTGGGTTTTTCACCTTCTTTTTTTATTTATTATTTTTTTTAAAATTTTGTATGTAATGATGCTTAATTATTTTATTTTATTTTTCTGTTTTTCTTTTCATTTTAATAATTATTTTGTGATTTTTAAAAAAAATTATTTTAGTCCAACGTGTTAATCTGATACAGCATCAAATGCTCGACTAATTTAGTCAGTATTATCCGACAACTATTTATCTTATTCGACTAAAATAGTTAGTACAGTCCGAGCTGCCAAACGAGGCAGGTTACAGGAGGAGGAGACTTGACTCTCTCCTTCTAGACTTACTAACTATACACTAATGAACTCGCTAAGGGCGCATTTACGTAAGGGTAATGGGAATCAAAAAACGAAATTGAATTCCGATTACGGATTATTCCGGTGTTTACTAAATACTGGGGAATCAATAGTGTGGTGGACCCCACCCGAAACAAGCAATGCAATTCCTAAAATTGGAGGAGTGGGATTCCCTAAATAGATGAGGTATTTGAATTCCAGGAGGCTGAAGGAATCAGGAATGCAGTTTTTCTTCCTATTATGTCGTCATTCACATTATGTACAACTCCATGCATATGCCGAAGAGAAGAAACTACAATTTGAGTGAAAAAATTTAAATATTAAAGTACATACTTAAATTTATAAAAATAAACAAATAAAAGCATTTTAGTGTGACACACCCCGATCAAGATCAGGGCATGCTGGCCGTCACGTGGAAGTGACGTAACCATGTGCACAGTGCGGAAGCTAATAAAATAATAATGGAAATAGTAATACGAATAAATAAAAACTGGTTTTACATAAAGTAATAACAAGTGCAAGCATAAGTGTGACGCTAAGTTCAGAGCATAAAGCCTAAAGCAGTCCAAAAGAAAATGTCGCAACAAAAGTACACCCGAAGGTGGTCCTACGCTGGTGATCGTCTGTCAGAAATGCCGGGAAAATCCTCAGGGAAACCACCAAACGTGCTAGCCAACTAGAACCTGGAGGGGCGCAAAACAAAAGCGTGAGTGGGCAAAAACAAAGCTTTTCGAAAACCATTTAACAAATAAGTTCTAACCCCTCGCCGTAAAACCTGTATACTTCCCAGAAAATAGATATATATATATATATATATATATATATATATATATATATATACCAATCATGCTCAAGAATATGCCGTGCCGAAACCTCAGAATAAAATGCAAGTGCTCAGGTATAATCATATCACTATCATATAATCTGGCAGCCGGAGTCACCTAACGTGACCTGTACGGCTGAATCTAGAGCTCAAATCTCAATCTCACTAACTAGACCTGCACACGAGTCGGAACCACCTAAAGTGGTCTGTACGATAGGCTTGGGTGTAACATATATATACGCTCAAGTGCTACGATCACGTGAAGGCTGGGCGAATAATCGCGGGTCACCTACGAGTCGGAACCACCTAAAGTGGTCTGTACCACAGGACTGTGCACCTAACTTGGATCCAAGCTGAGCGTGTGGTGCGGGAGGTGAACATCACGTGAAGGACTGTGCCCAACTCTGGGCGGGAGCACTAACACCGGGGGTGGAGGTTATGA